CTTATCACCATATACCAGATTGAACTCAAATGGATCGCAGACCTAAATTTAAGTGTTAAAACTGTTAACATTTCTACAAGAAAATAGAGGAAAAAATCCTTATGACCTTGGTTTAGGCAAACTCTTCTTAGATATGACACCAAAAGCATGTGCATCAAAAAATAAATGATAAATTACATTTTATTAAAATTAAAAACTTTTGTGCTTCAAAAGACACAATTAAGAAAATAAAATGTCAAGCCACAGACTGAGAGAAAATATTTGCAAAACATACATCTGATCGGGCCGGCCCGGTGGCGCACTGGAGAGTGCGCCGCTTGGGAGTGCAGCGGCGCTCCCGCTGAGGGTTCGGATCCCATGTGGAGACCGGTTCCCGCTCACTGGCTGAGCGTGGTGTGGGTGCAACACCGAGGGTTGCGATCCAGTTGCCAGTCCCCGGTACGGGTGCGACACTGAGGGTTGCGATCCCATTACCGGTCAGTAAAAAAGGAAAAAAAAAAAAAATACATCTGATAAGGGACTCCAGTCCCCGGTACGGGTGCGACACCGAGGGTTGCGATCCCATTACCGGTCAGTAAAAAAGGAAAAAAAAAAATACATCTGATAAGGGACCTGTGTCCTGAATATGTAAATAACTCTAGTGACTCATAATAAAAAGACAAACAATTTAAAAATGGGCAAAAGACTCTAACAGACGGTGCTGTGGTTTGAATTTCCCCTACAAACATTATGTTGAAATTTAATCCACAGTGTGGTGTAGTAGAGGTGAGGCCTTTAAGAGGTTATTGGATCAGGAGGGCTATGCTCTCATGAATGGATTAATCCATTAATGAATTAATAGATTAATGAGTTGTCATGGGACTTGAACCACTGGCTTTGTAAGACGAAGGGAGAAATGAGCTAGCACCTTAGCACACTCCTGCCCTGTCACCATGTGATGTCTTATGCTGCCTTGGGATTCTGCAGAGAGTCCCCACCAGGAAGAAGAGCCTCATCAGATGTGATTCTTGACCTTGTGTAACTGAACCAAACTTGGGTCCATTCACCCAAAGTACAGCTAAGCCAAAACACTGACACTAGGTTGCTATGAGGGAAATTAAGCTTTAATTACAAGGCTGAGTAATTGAAGGTCAGGAAGCTAATGCTGGGGGGAAAAAAAAAAGCCATGCTTTTCAAAGGCTTGCCAGCAAGAATTTTTAAAAGAAAGGCTTGTGGGTTGGGGGCGAGGCTGTGGAAGCGACCTGTGGGTATTTCTGATTCCTCGAATCTCCAAGAACAAAGAAAACAGCTTTGGGCTTCTGCTTATCACTCTTCTGGTTCGGATCAGTCTGGGGTCCTTGCAGTCAACATCTCGTCAGCACATTCCAGGGCCTGGGAAACTTGGGCATTTGTCCCTGTAAAAGCACCTCAAGGGTATGTGTCAAGATACGTCCTTTACCCCAGGAGCCTAGTGGCGCTTCTTTCTGCCTAGGTAACATGCCACTAACACGCAGAGCTGCCTTAGTGCTCCCCACCTCAGCTGCTAGCTGCCAGTCTCAGCTCCTTAAATGGACAGCCCAGTTCCCACATTCTCAACCACTTCATTTTGGGGGGACCAAGGCCACAGCCTGCTTTCATCTAAATTTTTGAGGGGCTTTATCGAGAAAGGGTACCTACTCAGTTTCACTTGGACTTTCCAGCCCCATAACTGTAAGATACAAATTTTGTTTCTTCATAAATGACCCAGTTTCAGGCATTGTTATAAGTGACAGAAAATAAACTAAGACAGACATTTCACCAAAGAAGACCCATGAATAGCGGATAAGCCCTTGAAAAGGTGCTCAGCATCATTAGGGAAGTTCAGTAACTCACCCACGGCTGGGGTTGGGGCAGAGCTGGAATTTACACCCACGTCTACCTGACTCTACATCTGTGTCCCTGACCCAGAGCTCCCTGTCTAGTTATTTGCTGTCTTTGTTTATAGATCCTGGACTAAATGGGCCAGACCAATAGCCAAAGTTGATTGCATCCATCCCATTCTCTGTGTTTTTGCAAGCATGCGAGAATCAGTTTACAAACCCTCCAGCCACAAGC